CCTTTGCCCTCTATGTGGGCTACACCCACGTGTCTGATCACAAACACTACTGGAGCGACGTCCTTGCTGGCCTCCTGCATGGGGCGCTGGTGGCTGGCCTCACTGTGAGCTTCTGACCCTGACTCACCCTCTGTGCTGTCCAGAGACCACTCCCTGCACAACCCTGGTCCTTCCCTGCACACTCTTGCCCCACGGAGTCCTCCCCTGGGACTCCTTCCCCCAACCATGGTCCTTCCCTGGGACCCCTCCTTCCCCCCATTTATCCCCGAGACTCCTACCCCCCAACCCCGGTTCTTCCCTGGACCCCTCCCTTCTCCCCATTTGTCCCCTGGGACTTCTTCCCCCAACCCCAGTCCTTTCTGAGGACCCCTCCCTTCCCCTCATTTCTCCCCTGACACTCTGTTCACCAACCCCAGTCCATCCCTGGGACCCCTCCTTCCCCCATTCCTCTGCTGAGACTACTGCCCCCAACCTCAGTCCTTCTCTGGACCCCTCCCTTACCCCCACATCCTACCCTGGGACCCCTTGTCCCAACCCCAGTCCATTCATGGAACCCCTCATTTCCCCCATTCCTCCCCTGGACCCCTTCCTTCAACTCCAATTTTTTCTGGGGTCCCATCCCTTCCCCCCATTTCTCCCCTGGGACCCCTCTCCCCAAACCCAGTCTTTCCCTGGACACCTTCTTCCCCCAGTTCCTTCCCTGGGTCTCCTGCCTGCACACCGCAGTTCTTCCCTGGGCCTCTCAGCACCCTAGTGCTCTCCACTAGTCATCCACTAAGAGGGCTCTCTTCCCCCCACAGGCACTCTTCCTCTCATTGCCCACCTGGGACCCTGTTACTCCCCCTCCTGCCCTTGCCCGTGTCCCTGGTGCCTGCCCAGCCCCTGCCCAGTCTCACCTTCCTCCACTCTGCCAGGTCCACTACATCTCAGACTTCTTCAAAGCCCGATCCCCACAGCACTGCCTGAAGGAGGAGGAGCTGGAATGGAAGCCCAGCCTGTCACTGACAGTGGCCCTGGGCGAGGCTGACCACAGCCAATATGGATACCCGCACTCCTCCTCCTGAGGCTGGATGCCTTCCAGGCAGGGAGTGGCTGTGAGTCCAGCTGAGGCCGGTCCCCCAGGTGGTCCCTCTGGCCCTGGGTAGGCACTGAGGGCTCCAGACAGGTTCCAGGAACCCTGGGCTGATGGGACCAGTAAGCAGGCTCTGCTGCCCCTGCCCTGCACAGGACCAGGGTTCTGGGGAGGCCTAGGTAGCCCTGAGCATTTGGAGGGGGACCTGTTCCCATAGCTCCCCAATATCCCCATTCTTTTATGGGGTTAAGGAAGGGACTGTTTTGTAAAATGTAATGTACATGTGGTTTTTAGTGAAATAGGGTATTAGTTTGATGAGTGGTCTCAGTGCCTCTGTTCCTTACGGCCGTTCTGGGGACGGTGCTCCCCCCGTCAGAGGGCTCCGTGGAGCTCAGGCCTCAGGCCGCCTTACCCGCTGTGACAGTGAAGGGCAGCAGCCAAGCCCGCCCCTTGCGTTTCTCCCTGCACGGTGCTGGGGTCAAGGGTCAGGTGGGTCAGCACACCCCTCCCCTCTGCTCATGTCCACCCTGTGCACCTGGGGGCCATGCTTCTGAAATGGGTAATTCAGGGGCTGGTTTCCCTGACGTGATGGCAGAACACACAGAGCTTACTTTTTCAACAGGTGGTTAAAGGGTACATTTGTTTTTTCGTACAGGGGGTAACTTAAGTATCTGCTGATGTTTTCTTTGCACCTGGAACCTCTCTTACTCCCTCACTCTGCAGGCCTTAGCCTATGGGAAGGGTGGTGTAGCCCTGGGGTCAAAAATGCAGCCCGGGAGTCCCACCCAAGGGGCCGCGATGGAGACCTGCTCTTGGCGGACGGGAAGGAAGGTGACCCAGACCCTGCGGAACTCCATCTGAACGTCAGGGACTTGCCTCCATGCAGGTGTCAGATGGGATCCTGACTGGTAAAGGCACACTGAAGCCTCCCAGGTATCCTAGGATGCCCCAGCTGGCAGTGATGCCCGAGGACTAAGGAGGCTGTGTCTGGGCTCAGAATGTATCTCTGGCAGTGGTTGGGAGAGAGAGGTTCCCAGCCAGATCTCACGGGCAGAGTCACCTGCATCAGGAGCAAATGGGAATGACTCAAGTGCCCTGACAGTAGCCGACGCCTCCGTCTCCTCCCAGGCGCAATGGCCTTGAAAGCCAGGACCACAGTGAGGGTTGAGCACGAGTCTGTGGGAGCAGCTGCAGTGCACAGGACTCTGGTGTGGCCTACTGGGGACAGGTGGCCGTGTTGGGACCAGCGGTGAAGACAGAGGAGTGGAGGAAGTTTGGAGTGAGGGAGAGGACATGGCTGAGGCCAGCTGCTGGGGCAGTCTCAGTGCTTCAGAAAGAGCATGTGCACCTCACGGCTGAGAGGAGAGAAAGAAAGGGCTGTACTGACCACAGCCATCCCCAGAGGGTCCTCAGGAGCCAGGAGCACTGCTCTGCATCTGTTAGGAAAAGCCAGGACGCAGGGTGTTGGGCTCGGAAATTCTCACGGGTTCCAAGTACCAAGATGGCAGGCAGGGCGGCAGTTAGGACACATTTCTCCACCCACAAGGAGCTCTGGGGAAGCTCTCATGCACAATTTTGGGTTTACACTGCCCACACCCTTATAGTTTCATGGAAGAAAATAGTATTTTCTCTCATTGTACAAGGAGGATTTTTTTTTCTGTTGTTTCTCACAGGAAACTCAGATTCTTAGCCATGTAAATATCATTTCCCATGGCTGTGTCCTCGTGGCCTGGCATTTCTCCCACCTTCTGAGGTTAACTGGTTTTTGAAGATCTCCTCCTGGCCGGGCACAGTGGCTCACGCCTGTAATCCCAGCACATTGGGAGGCCGCGGTGGGTGGATCACAAGGTCAGGGGATCGAGACCATCCTGGCCAACATGATGAAACCCTGTCTCTACTAAAAATGCAAAACTTAACTGGGTGTGGTTGTGGACACCTGTAATCCCAGCTATTCGGGAGGCTGAGGCAGGAGAATCGCTCAAGCCCGGGAGGCAGAGGTTGCAGCGAGCTGAGATTTTGCCACTGCTCTCCAGCCTGGTGACAGAGCGAGACTAGGTTTCAAAAAAGAAAAGAAAAGAAAACTCCTCCTGAGTATTTGATAATATGCAGGATTTTTTTGAATGTGTCAGCTACCATATGTTATTCTGGTTTTGTAGGAAACCATGCATACTTTGTTTTTTAGACACAGAGTCTCATTCTGTTGCCCAGGCTGGAGTGCAGTGGTGCAATCACTGCTCACTGCAGCCTCGACCTCCCAGGCTCAAGCAATGCTCCTGCCTCAGCCTCCTGAGTAGCTAGGACGACAGCACCCACCACCACACCCCACTTTCATGCTTACTTTTTTTTTATAGGTGCATACTGAAGTATTTAGGAGTGAAATTTTGTGAGATCTGCAAATTACAATATTTCATAATGTAAAACCATGAAGCAGACATGGCAACATATTAGTAACTGTTAAATCTGTTTTGTGTATGTGCGTATCATTATGCCACCCTCTGGACTGCATTTTGAAAAATTTTAAGTCAAAGAAGCAAAACTCTGCCTGAGAAAATTTTCCTAAGTTC